AATATCATGTGTAAACAAAGTTAACTTGCAAGACATAAGACAGTTGTGGTGGTAAATGCATTAACAGTGAGTCCTCAAAGGCACAGTAATAGAATATCATGCTATAGTAATTTAGTAGCACCATGTAATATAGTTTAACATATATTATTTCATGCTACTGCAATGCAGCTAGATATTACCAACATTGTGAATTAGCACCTAAAAGGGAGCAGCACAAACCCTCGAAACTTTGGACGAAATGAAATATATCATGACATACAATACTTCTCATGCTATACAACAAACAAAATTCACATACCAACTTTTCATGCAAAACATGTTTCATGCTATAAATATGTAGTATAACACATACAGTTTCAAGATAAAAGTAGGGCGTATAAAATCTCATGGTGACTAAAGATTAGAGAACCGTTACAATAAAATAAGAAAACATTCTTTATGATAAAGCAAAATTGCAATTTTTACATACTCCTAGTTACACTTAATAAATAGCATTTATGATGACAAAATATTATAAGACAACTATAATCACATCATACAGAGAGATTTTGAAAAATAAAACACCTTTAATCATTTTAAATATGTTAGGCACAATGTTGTTGAATCTATAATTGATATTTAAGGGTGATCAAGCCTTAAATACTAATGATTATGCCTGCACAATCATAAGAATTCAACAAAAGAGGCGCAACAGAATAAATTTGGTACAATTAGATATAAATACACTACTTAACAATATAATAACTTTTCATATATATCAACATTCTCCAATACACTACTATGTTAAGACGAGAAGAAAATTTAAACGTGCTGTCTTTTTCTTAGATTATACTGATGTGTAACTTGAGGAGCAGGAGGTGGATTTTGAACTAAGTGAGAGAATCGTTTTGGAGCTAAACGAAGGCGATTGATGTGAATTTTGAATGGTTGAGCAAACTCATTGTCAAGTGCTCGAATAGTGTAGTTTACATCACTTGATTTTGAAACAATACAGAATGGTCCAGAAAATCTGGGTTTAAATGTATCCTTAGATTTCAGATACACTACGTCATCAATACTGAATGAATCTTAATTTGGCATTTTTCAGTTGACGAGTATTTTTTGTTTACTTGTTTCGCTCAAGCGTCTCATAGGCATGTTCATAAGTTAATTTCAGCTGCGTTAGAAGATCACACAAATAATGGGATTTATCCAATTGAGCTGGCCTTGGATCAGGATGAAATGTATCAAAAAGTAAAGATAAGTTTCTTCCAAAATGCAAAATATTAGGAGAATAGCCTGTTGAAGGATGAATAGTACCATTGTAAATATTCTGATGGATTAACAATGCATTTTGAAATGAAATACCTTTTTTTTTAAAGGGTAAGTAAAGAAGTTTTGATTGAAGTATTAACTCGTTCACTTTGTGCATTGCATTCCGGTCTCTGAGGAGTACAATGAGATAATTTAATACCTAATGATTTTGTAATTGATTCAAACACTAATGAAGTGAATTGTGTGCCCAAATCAGTCAAGATCATTTCCGGTCGTCCATGTACAGATATATATTGTAATAAATGCCCTGTAATAGTTTCAGCAGTGAGATTTTTAAGTGGATATAAAGCAAGATGCTTAGAAAAATGATCTAAAACAGTAAGAACATGGCCACAATTCCTTATAGGACCGACAATATCCATGGAAATAAAGTCATTTGGGTACTTAGGTATTCTGATGGCTTTATATGGTGCTTGTTTAGGAGTGAACGACTTATATTTGTTGCATAAATGACACGAGAGGACAAAGTTCTTTGTGTCGTTATACATGCCCTTCCAAAAGTAACGTTTCGATAAAATCTCATAAGTCTTTTGCACCCCAAGATGGGATATATGGGAAATTTCTAACACTTTAGATTTCAGTGCTTGTGGAACAACAATTAACTCAGCATTATTTTGTTTGTTTGAAATAAACATAAGAAGCTTGCTTGACTCATTAATGAAGAAATTATGTACCTTTGCAGCATTAAGCAAGGAAGGATTTTTCAAAATTGTGATAATTTCTGAAGTAAAAGGATCCGAACTTTGCTCAGCAAGAAACGTTGACTCAGAAATTTCATGAGCAGGATCTCCAGAAGAAACCAGGGCATTCACTTGGGGTCGTTCAAGATTTGTTTCAACAAACGGAAGAATAACTGAGTTATCTTCAGAGTTTTCAGCCAACACTGGCTGATTATGATCAGGATCTTGCATACGTGACATGTAATCAGCTAGAGAATTTAATTTTCCAGGAATGTGCTTAAATTCAAAAGTATATTCACTTAACTCCATAAGCCACCTAGTCGTGTTGTCAGCAGGTGACGTAGATTTTTGATAATGCAACAGAGGTTTACTATCAGTCAAAATTGTAAACTTTCGATTATATAAATATGATTTGAAAGCAGTAACAGACCGATAAATGGCATAAAGTTCCAATTTTATAGCTGGGTATTTTCTTTCAGATGGTGACAATGTTCGACTATAATATGACACAGGATGCAATTCATTGTTGTGTTCCTGCAGTAAGAACTCCCGAAATAGCATGACCACTGGCATCAGTATTCAGTATAAATTCCTTGTCCCATTGTGGTAAGATAACAAAAGGTTCAGAAAAGAATATATGCTGAAGTTTCTCAAATGCAACGCTATGCGCATCAGTCCATTTAAATTTATTCTTCTTACTGGTCAATTGTGTCAAAATATCAGTAAGTTCGGCATAATTTGGTATGAGATGCCTATAGAAACCACAAAGGCCTAGAAATTTTCTGACCTGTCGGACAGTCTTAGGTGGTTGAAAGTTAGTGATCTTAGCAATATTAGTTGAAATGGGTTTAATTAAGTTATGAGAGATGTGAAATCCTAAATAATCTATAGCTGTTTTGAAAAAGACACATTTTGTAGGAGACAGTGTTATGTTATACTTAGATAAAAGTTTCAATACTGCAGTCAACTTAGTCATCATATCATCAAAGTCAGAAGCACCTATTACAATATCATCCTGATATGCATGCACACCTACGATGCCGTCCATTTTTAGTTCATCAATAAGCGTATCCACTAAAGCTTGAAAAGTACTGGCGGCAGTCTTTAAGCCAAAAACTAGCCTTCTATTAGCAAAGGATCCAAAAGGTGTAGTAAATGTTAACACATCCTGCAAGTGATCGGGAAGTTTAATTTGCCAATAAGCATTTTTTAAGTCAAGTACTGAATAGTACTTGTAAGTGGAGATGTTGTTTATAAGCGTTGAAATCTTTGGAAGAGGATATGTTGAATGTTCAATAATAGAATTAAGCAATCTTAAATCAAGAGCCATGCGGTATTTGGGTGGATTATTAGGGTATTTGGGATCTGGCTTCTTTTTTACTAACAGCATGGGACAAGCCCATTCAGCAACATTTCGATGAATTAAACCAGCTTCCTGCAATTCCTGAAGATCTTCTTTAACTTGGGATTGCAATGAATAAGGAATTTCAAAAGGGAGGGTCCTAATGGGATTCGAAGACCTAAAACAAATTTGTGGGGTTACCCTATCAGTGCAGCCAAGTGATTTTAAAGATTTGGAAAAAGCTGCATAATTAGAGATTAACACATCCAATAAACACTGCCTTTGTTCAGGAGAAAGATGGTTAAGATCAAAGTCAGTTGGTAACAATTCTTGTTTCCTTATTTCTAAAACCTCTTTTGATGGAGTTATAAGATTGCAATACTCATTTTGAGGAGTATCCGAATTTACAGAATCAGGTATGGTCTCAGCAAATTCAATATCAGATGTGACTTGACCTAGCTTCTGATTTTTGTTTATATGAACATTGTTCGAACCAATATTTTTGATGACAGTAATGAAGGAATTGTCGTTTAGAGTGTGGATCGCAGGATGCAATTCAATATCGTGTTTACTTACAGTTGGTTGAAAAAGGACAGGTTGATTGTTAGCATGAGGACTATTGACTCTTAAGTGCGCAATTGTCGATTCTCCAGGATCTAACATAATTTTGTGTTTCAAAATTGCATAACATTCTGAAGGTACAGGATTACAATTATAATTTTTTACATTAGCCATATTAATTAGAGGTACATCAAAATTATTAAATTTTGCAACTGCACTTTTAGCACATATTAAGACATCATGTTTGGATAAAAAGTCATAACCTAAAATTCCATGAAAATTTTGTTGAAAAGCATCAGATACATAAAAGGCGTGTTTAAAATGCTGCTTGTTTATCTTAAATGATATTTCTGCACAGGCTGAAAAATGTAAATTGGAATTGATAGTTTTAATTTGAACATGTCTGGATAAAAATCTAACTTTAGTATCCAATCTTATTGTATCAAACACAGCTTTTGATAACAATGACACAGAACTTCCTGAATCAAGTAATAAAGTGCACAAATTTTTACCAAATGTTACATGAATCAAAGGAAGAGTACAATCAGAAAAGACATTATTTATATGCGCAATAGGTAAACAATTACTTTTACTTTTGACATGAAATTGTTGCAAAAACTCTTTGATAGAACTCGAGGGTTTACCACTGATTATCATTTGCTTATTTAAATATGTTTCAATACTCTCCGATTCTTTGCTCGTATGATAGTTTGGTTTTTGGTGACTTGGTTGAAACATTAGAGGTCACATCGCCACCTACTTGTGAACTCCCCTTGCGTTTAAAGGGGTACTGTATCTTGGCTGATTATAATAATTTGGTCTCCGACCATAAGATGGAAATCTGTTAACATTTGAGTTATCACCTTGTCGCGTACTATTGCTATAGAACTGTGGTCTAGTGAGATTAGGACGACTGCTAACATAGTTACTCGAACTTCTAACCTGGTTCTGACGAGGGCTACACATCGCCAAATACGCACGACATACTGACATTGAATGTCCAAATTTATGACAGTATAAGCATGGAAGTGGATATGGAGGATATATGGGAGTTTCTTGCATCCAATTTACACAGTGGTCATTTGCATCTTGAGCATGTGTGGGATTACTTGTCCGTAAAGACAAAACAGCATTACATTGATTTAAGGGATGCTTATCTAAATTACAAAACTGACATTTTTCATTCTGTAATGCAATTTGAAGACTGAGGTTTTCAACTTGACTTTTTAAACTCTCAATAGCATCATCTTTGCTATTCAAAGCAATGGAATGTGTTTGCATTATTTTCAAATTTTGCGAATTAGAATGATGTTGCTGAGCTAAATTCACAAGCTGATCAAAATTATCTGTAGATTCACTAATTAATTTTTCTTTGAGTTCTATTGGTAAAGCAGCTAGAAACTGCAAAGATTTTATTTGGTTCAATGCTTTGCTATTTTGAACATGGTTGTATGTAGCATGAGCCAAAGTTTCAATGCGATGAGCAAGACTTTTCATTGACTCACCAGGTAACAGCTGAATGGTCTGGAAAGCAATTAAATTAGATGAAGAGTTAGAATCCTTCGAAAAGAAATTTATCAGTTTTTCACAAGCCTCGTCTAGGGAAGTCACATTTTGACAAGCAGGCGATTCTGCAAAGAACTGCTGTGCAGCACCAACAAGTTTACTTTTCAGATATAATAGTGCAACTTTATCATTCCAATTATTAAGAGTTTTATATTCTTTAATCTGGCTAGTGAACCAGCGAACGGTATCAGGATCACCAGAAAATGATGCAATATTAAATGTGAATGTTTTAGTTTCCATTTGTTCAGGAGATTGTTGTCGTGTCTTAGGCATACTCAATTAAACAAAATAACATTCTATGAAATGACACATATGATAAATATGCAAATTTTTGCCCAATAAAGGTATATACTATAAATCATATATATATAATACAAATAAAAAATTAATATCAAACAAATTTACCACTGCAGCATAAGACTTAAGTTAGACTTTGAATCATTCATGTGATTAATACAATGTATATTCATCTTAAATACATTCAGTTAGACTTTGAATCATTCATGTGATTAATACAATCTATATTCACTTTAAATACATTCATAAATACAACTGCTTTAAATACAGTCTTAGAATAGATACAGTTCAATGCAACGTTAATGTAATTGCCACAGCACACGAAACGGTTGGGCGCGGCACCAAGTGTGGTAATGATTATTTTCGTTGGTTGTGGTGGCAAACGTATATGTCACATGTTATGATAAACAGGAATATAGTGGCAACTTACCCCAGGACAAGATCCAGGTCTATAGCCCGCCGTGACGAGAGAGTGACAAACACGTGAAAACAGATTTAATTCTTGCTTTATTGGATACCAACAATACTGAAGAGATATTCCTTTTTTTTTTGTAATCCGGTATGTCACATGACGATATGAGGCCTCCTCACTCAGAACAAAAAAAAAGATAGATCAATTCTTCCACACAGCCCCTCGAAGACTTGGTGTATTTCAGCTCACACACATGCAGGTACTCTTCATCGGGATGCCGGGCGAAAATGCCAAGCCCGGGGAAAAAAAGGAGATTAGCTTAAATTTTGCAGCTACAACATCAAAGAGAAAGAAAATCACTTCCTTCATACACACTGGGAGACCAAAGAAAGCTTGCACGATAAACTCCCACAAGTTTGCATTTTTACTCCACTCTTACTGTCTTTCTCTATGCAGCATCTCCATCTCGCACCTTCACAATCTCCTCCTTCTCGTCCCTCCTGGTAGACAAAAAATACCGCCTTTTATAAAGTTCCACAGTTAAGTTTTGCCGCCCAATGAAAAAAGATCCAGCGTCAGAAGGCAACCAATCGCAAAATACCTTCAGCTACCCAGGCAAACAGAAGTGAAGACGCTAGTTGTCTGACGCAATACTTTCTTCCGCTTACAACAGTTGTCTGATGCAATACTTTCCTCCGCTTACAACAGTTGTCTGATGAAATCTGTTCCTCACCTTACAACACAAGTTGGCGAAAAAAATGAAACTGTCACCAAAGGAATCTGATGCAAATATCTAAATATTGCCATAACGTAGTAAATAATTAATTCAATGTGACCTCGCAAACGTAAAATGAGAACATTGTAAGATGCAAATACATTGATACTCCGACACGAGGTTCCTCAAAACATCAATCTGTACTCTTGAGTTCTCATCTGGAACACTTGTCCTCTCATCTTCGAATTTCGATCACCCCGTCTCCGGACCCTACGATGTTCGTGTATATGACAGTTCTAAACTAAAGACACGAGCTGGTAGAACTGTTAAGATGCCACTTAGATCGAGCTTGATAGACTTGAATGTTTTGAGTAGCTATCCAGCAACTCAAAAGGGGGGATCTTGGGAATGGCATC